CACATATACCATGGAAAAAAATTAATTATTTCCTCCATGCACACACAGACCGTAGATTTTGTTTAGACTCGGGTACGAGCTTGGACAACACATTTTTTCTAGTCATTATTTATAATTCTATTACTATTTTTGTTTGACAGTTTGGTGGCGCTTCTACTATAAAGATGAACTCTGAAAACTCAGCAGTTCATATCACAAGGGTCAAAGGTTATTTCGAGATAAACAGGCGCGCGGGTGATAAGAAGTTATTGAATTCACTACATAACTAGAAATATGAAAACCATGAGTATTTTAAGTATGATATTGCTGTCAATACATCATTAACGAGCTGTCGAAGGTTTGAAATAACTTGAGCCAACGATTATAACTAGGCCTAGGCCCTAAACGCAGTCCTATTATAGTATTAATAATCATAGCCTAGCCTACTACTTACTACTACACTAGGCCTAGGCCTAGAGTCCTATTCTAGCTGGCCTGTGCTTCTTTGGTGTATGATCTGGCTCACCGACCTACCCTGTAGCAGGAGGGAGCGCCAACATCCTATTTCTAGCTAGGCTACACGTAGGCCTAGGTACACATGCCTGAAAGTAGGCATAGGCCTAGGAGGAACTGTACGTGGTGCAGATCGGGTTAACGGATCTCAAAGCCTATCTACTACTAGAACTAGCCTACGTTCATCTTCGACGCAGAATAAAGCCTACCTAGCCCTAGGCTACCTAGCCGATGTCAGGCCTAGGATAGGAGGCCCACCCAATTTTGAATTTTAAAGGAAGTTGAACAGGACAAATCAAGAGCCCCAATTGTGCCATAAGAATAGAAAGGCAGAAGATAGCTGTATTTTTTTAGAGTGACAATGTCAGACTTATCAAGGTAAAGTAGGCCTAGGCCTCAATGAATGGAGATAACCTTGGATAATTGATAATTAAGTGTGTATTTTGTAAATGTATTTGTCAAATTTGTATTGTATTATTTAATAATAAATCATAATTATTAATTATATAAATTTTGAGTCTAAATTTTCTAACCTTGGATATTGCTAAAACCTCCTCAAACTTCCCAAAGGCCCTTCCTTACTATTAAATATGGGAGATTAGGTAAAACAAGGCAATTCAACAAAAGGACGCACATCTCAGGACATGAAAGTATAAAACTCTGGCATCAACATTCTACAGTATGCGCTGCGTGCCATTACACGCTGACTGCCACAAAACCATAGCAACCAAACCATAATTTACCGTCAGCATGTGACCAATAGAGGGATTTAGCGATGGGCGTCATGTGACCTAACTTGAGCGTTGGATATAAACAATCCACTGACACAGTGGTGTTTTACATGGAGATTTCTATCGCAGCCATCCCTTGTAAAGATCATCATAATTCCCACTATATCAAACTGATTGGAAATTACTTAAAACTTAAAAATTTTTCCTTAATGTTTTGCTAATGCTTAAAAGATACTCTCCTCAAACATTGAGATTTTTCAACAAATGTTAGGCGCAGGTCCCTGCACATCTACGGCATGTTTATGTATGCATGATGGTCTTCGACCTGCGAACTACGCTGCGATGTTAGGGCCAGCTAAGGTTTTGAAGAATCACTTTCAAAGCATACAATCCAGAGAGAAGACTAGGAGAAATAAATAAACACTATTTCGAACAATCGTATTGCCTTTCCTAGCCACTTACTTCCTACGTTAACGGTGGGTTGTTTTCGCAACCATAACATTATCTTTTCCTATGCTATCGCACTGTAATGTTTTTCATGTACACTCAAGTTAGGTCACGTGACTGCCTGTAAACAATCATCGCTAAATCCCTCTATTACCCACACATGTGTTAGTTGCCATAATAATCGCACAACGTGCGGTGATCACATCTATCTAATGATATTTTGTACTAATATTAGACTTATATTCATTATTTCAACATTAAATTTACCAATATTGTGGTGTATTGTCGTTCATGAGACTCACTTCGCAGAAAAAATAAACAAATTTTCTCTATCTACCGGTACTCAAATGTTTGTTTTGTGCACCTTACAGTAGTCCAACATTGTCAAAATGACAGTTTAATGTTTTAAGAACAAAAAAATTTATAAAAATCAAACTTTTAATGGCTATAACTTTTCATTTTGTTGGTCAATATTCACGAACCAAACTGTAGGATAGAAGTTCATGTTCAAAAGAAATCAGATGTAACAGGCATTGCGAAGTACCCAAAGTTGATAAAATAGTAACTAACACCGTAAAACATATGGCACGCAGACTTATAATTGACAGCTGTACTTGCAACTAGTATCGGATTGTCAATGCCTCAGTAAAGATCAAAGGACTGTATGCATGCGCTATGTTCGAGAGTGGAGATATGCATCCTTTTGTTGAATTGCCTTGGTTAAAATTGCTTTCTATCATAGCAAATTATATTTGCTGTATGATCTGGTGAGGGCACGAGGCTGACCCAATTTCTGTGAGACTCCAACCACTCATGTGGAAGGTTTATGACCCCGGAATACCTTCTCAATCACATTCTATATTCCTTCATGAAGTATTATGACATATTTTTTCATCATTTACTTACTTGTTTTTTGTAGTGGGTGGCAAAGGTTATTTCGGAAAAAAACAGCCAATGCAGCAAATAGTCCTAAAAAATCAACTGGCCAATCCAACCAAAACAGAATGGATGACGCAGTGGTATGAACTTATTTTTTTATTCTACTAAAAATAACCCATTTGATTTTTTGTTTAAGGCTGTATAATAATGTATAAATATGAGATAAAGAATATGAATATTTAGGAACATTAGTGTTTGGTTATATTCAAAGAATATGCAGGTGTCCCTCCAATTAAAGACCATTTTTGGGACCAGGTTTCCATTCCCTTTAGCAGATTTGGTTTCTAGAATAATAATGACAAATAAAATGACATTTGCTAATATTGTATGTATTTTCCACTACATGTAGACAAGTTGGTTGATAACAAACAGCCCAAGTCTGGTGTGTAACCAACAAAAATACGATAAGATTTTAGGCTATCGTGTTGTTTAAAAATTCTTAAATCAATAACAAGTGGGGGTGGGGGGAGCATATGCTAGTTTTTTTTTTTTCTGGAAAATGTCCTTAAAAGACTATTCTACATATTTGATTGAAAAAAAAATGTTCTTGACCTCTGAAATAAAGATGGAAAAACAAGAGATGAAGCTTGAATACTGTACACACTATACTAGACTGTGATTTTCCTGTTTTTATGTCAAGGTTTTTCCATGTCAGGTTGTAGTTTCTTTTATAAACACACATCAGTCACTTCTTTCTAGAGGAATGTTTTATTTCGGGGATAGTAGAAAGAGTGGAAAGACCCAATAGTTAAATTAAACTTTAATTAATTTACAAAAACAGACTTGTAACATAGATCAAACAACATTTACCAGTGACTTGTTCTGCAGCACTTTTGAAACCCTTTAATGAACTATGCAGTAGATAATAATACATTACAAAATTGAGTGTATTTTCAAGATGTAATGATTCATATTCCTACTGTACAGTACATTAACTTATTATTTAAAGGTGCTGTATGATCATCACCTCAGTCACAGAGAAAAGAAGTAGTGTAGTGTAAGACATATATCATAAGCATGTCTTTACATTTATTTTAATTTATTAAGCTGTTTAATAAACAGCACTGAACTTGACAATTTTTAAAGACATTTCAGTGTTTAAAACACTATTCTATTGTATAATATTAATATCCACAAGCCATTTTCAAGCTAATATTTTTGGTGAATATTCATAGTGATAGACATGTGACTCCACTTTCATTCTTCTCTTCCCTGAAATAAAACGGTGTACGGTAAGAATGGTCCCGGAAAAAATGGCAGAGGAAAAAATGGCCCGGTAAAAATGGCCCCAAATGACAGGTAGGTAAAAATGGCCCCAAATGACAGGTAGGTAAAAATGGCCCCAATAATAAAATTCTGTATTAAAACTGATTTTTTAAAAATCATTATATGCATTTTTTAAAAAGGAAATAATTTAGTTTTTAAAAGGAATCTAACATCAAATAAATTGCCATTTACATTTTACTTTTTGCAGAAATTACATATTCAATGATAAAATATTCAAAGATAAAAAAAAGCCATGAATAACTTTTTATTTTTTTCCCATTTAAATGTTAAAAAATAGAAACAACATAATCAATAAATCAACATAAATCATGCATTTATTAATACTAAAATAATTTATTTGTTGCCAATTTCAAGGAAGCGGAATCACAATTTTCCAGAAATTCAATCTGGGTATTGGTAAACCCCACAAACAATGAGTTTATATGAACATCAAATTATTATTATTATTTTGGATGGGGTTGGCAGTGTGTTTGGAGGATTGTGGTGTATTTGCAAGTATTTTTTCCTAAAAAAATAATCAACATTTTAACCAAAAAATAGGTTCTTATAAATATTTAATTTTCTTAGTGATATACCAAGTGAGTCCATCACAATTGAATTGTTTGGTTTTCTACAGTGTGTTTTAGGTTTTTGGGATTTAGCAATACCATTTGATCCTACCATAATTACTTTACCCTCACAATTACACACCATTTTAATTCTTAGCATAATTGCCATATTTACATAACTATGTATATAATATAGTATCTCTGTTTACATTATTTAGTATAGTTTTAGGCACTTAAATTTACTTGACGGGGAGTAGAAACCAAGTATGCAATTAAATAAGTTGCTTAAATAAACCTAATTATTCAGTTTACTTTAGAAACAATATTTGATTAACAAATACTTCTTTGAAGTAACTCTAAGCAGAACATTTGTTGAAGTAAAGTAAGCCTCCCTTTTCCCATACATGAACTTGTCATTCAAACACACAGTTGATCCACATGCTTTAACTACTGTTTATTTGCACTGTTTATAACATGTAAAGTTATTTCATTTGATACTAATAACAAAAGTGAATTTAGTGGGTATCTATGAGTTGCATTTTGGTAGTTGAAGTACTGTATGTATGTCATTCTTCTACTTTGTTAGTGGAATAACGTTTTTAAAACTTATTTTAACTATCAAAAATTGTTCAATGGCCGTTGTTTTCTGATAATCTCTCAGTACATTATTTGCATCTGTTGTGTAACTGTATTTGTTATTGATTTAATTCTTGCTTATTACAGTATTTAAATATTTGAAGATTTAAAAAAAAATATCATTTCTATTTTTTTCATTGGGGCCATTTTTACCTACTTGTCATTTGGGGCCATTTTTACTGGGGCCATTTTTACCAGGGCCATTTTTTCCGGGGCCATTTTTTCCGGGGCCATTCTTACCTACATTCAAATAAAACATGTGAAAATCTGTTAAGAAATCATACAGTACTTTTTTTCCATCATTATTTCAGAGGTCAGACAAATTTTTCAATCTTTTTCCAATCATATAGTGGTGTAGAATAGTCTTTTAAGAACATTTTCCTTAAAAAAAAGTAATATGATATGACTCTCCGTTAAGGAGATATGAATTTTTGAATAACGTGGTGTCAAGTCTAGTTTAGCCTCAAAAGTCAAAGCTTATCTTTCTTTTGTTGGTCATATGCACCACTGACTTGGGTTGTTTGTCATCAGTTCAACATGTCTACCAATTTGTGGTAAAGGAGCATGGAGGCTCCATGATTGGAGGTGGTCTTTAATTAGTTTAATTAGTTAATTAGTTTAATTAGTTAATTCTAGTACATTGTGCACACAGGATATCATTTTGTAATACACCAAAAATGTATTTTCCCTTATTTTTTTCATTGAAGCTTTTTATATGTATTCTAGGCTTATACTGCCAAAGCAGCAAGACGATTTTCAATCTATTTCTATCCTTAATATTTTTTTTTTTTTTTCTGTAATTTTTATTTATTCTGTATATTTGTAATCAGGTTGTACTCGAGAATTCAAATAATAAAATGGAGTCAGCTGAAACAAGAGAGGACCGCTTAAAGAGACGGGAGCGTATACGTGAGCACGATGAAGGTAAAGTTAATTTAGGGCAAATTGTGTAAAGCTTTAGATTTATTGTTAAGGTAAACTGTTCTGATTGTCTCCCAGAAGGACCCCACTGGAAACAAGTCTTCGGACTTAGTGGGTTATCCTTGGTGCGATTAACACTGAAATACTCCTATCCTAGACTATGACAGTCAAATTTTTCAAAAGTCTTCCCGTTATTATTTATCACCCTTGTAATTGATTCAGCGAGATATGATATATATATATATATATGAGGCTTGTCATCATCACAAAAAATGAAAATTTACTTTTAATATATTTTTATTCTCCAAATTGTAAGTTCTGGAATGATGAGTCATTTACTGGAATCGAGTGCTATTGCCAAAATAAAAATAAAAATAAAAATGGCTTTTCTGTACTTAAAGTGTACAATACTGTCACATACTCAGTTTAACATAATAGCGACAATATGCTGGTTTTGGGATGACATGCCTCATGTGTGGTGTATTCAAGCATTTTTCATTGTTTGATGTATCTACATAAGGTACCATAAGCATTCATCATCATGAAGATATTATCATCATTTGTTTTACTTTTCAGAAGAAAATGAGGATATTTCCAAAGAAGAGGAAGATCAAATTAAGGTATGATTTTTATGAATGTACAGTATAATGCCATTATGATATTATATTTTTAGACCCTTAAGTTAGCTGCTAATAATAATAATAAAATATCTTACTTTAACCTCTGTGAATCCAATTTTATCTGTTTTTAAATTTTAAGTGGGTAGCTTGTACGATTGTTTACCGATTCATTTTTTGTTGATTTTTTCTTGGAAACCACAGGCAGTAAATCTTTAACTATAAAAATAAGTTGTATAGTGTATGTTTATAAACAAATCGCCTTTTTAGTACGGCAGCTTAGGGCCACATTTTGACTTAATATGGACGTTCCGGACAAAAGCACCAATTTTTTTTTACATGCTCCTTATGGTCATAGCATTCAATTTTTGGTAGGAACCACCTCATCCGAGGTCATTATGGCGGCCATCTTGGATTTCAAAATGGTAGCCTTATAAAACCTATGTTTATCTATATCTCCGCTTCTAAATCACTTTGAATAATAATTATAATGTCTAAGAGTATGTTTATATGATCGAGGAATACCAATATCATATTTGACCTGGTCAGATTGCCACAAATAGGTCATTTAAGGTCATTCAAGTTCAAATATTGTATGGTATCTTTAAAATTACGTAATTGTCAAATTTTACATTAGAATCATACCCAGGCTCTCAGAATTCAAAAATGTTACTATGAACTACAATATTTCATTTGAGGTCATTCTGGCGGCCATCTTGAATTTTAAAATGGCTGCCACGCAAAAACTATATTTATCAATATATCGACTTTTAAACTACTTCCAATAAGAATTATGATGTCTAAAAATATATTTTCATGGTCAATGATTTATAGGACTTGTGACATGGTCAGATAGTCATTTAAGGTCATTCTATTTCATTTTTCTGTTAAATACGTAGAATATCTTAATAATTTGTAAGTGATCGTGTTTTACAGCAAAATCATACATAAGCTCACAAAATTCAATTTTTGATAGGAACTATTTCATCAGAGGTCATTATGATAGCCATTTTAGGTCAAGGTCATTTAGCAGCCATATTAAATTTCAAGGTGACCACCATGTAAAACATGTTTTGTTCTTTTAAATATGTTTACTGTACTGCATAGTCAAAGAATAACATCAAAAGTAGTGCT